GGAGCAGCACTCCAAAGGCTTGTGATTTCAAATAAACCTGTTGGACTAAAACTTGGAGTTGTGTGATTTCTGACTTAATGAATGGCAAATAAAAACCAAAAGAACTGCGGATGCTATAAATAAGGAACAAAACCTCAGTTGAGGAAGGGTCACCAGACCCGAAACGTTAACTCTGATTTTTTCTTCACAGATGCTGCCAGACCTGCTGAGCTTTTCCAGCAACTTCTGTTTTTGTTCCTGATGAACAAATAATTGGTTTCATTTAATAGAAATCTGTTAGGACACAATAATCTGCAAAAATCTGCAATTAATTATAGTTTATTAAATTAGCCCCTGTACCTGGCTACCATTTTGGCCCCATCAATTGACTGGGTTTCTCGAATGATGCGAACAGCTTCTTCTGGATTGCTGAGATGATCCAACTGGATTCGAATCATATTATCCCAGTCTTTGGCATTTTCATAAGCCATTGCAGCTTCCTTGTATCTAGAATACCATCACGAAGGAAAATAGATTATAAGTTCTTCAAGAAATATTAATATTGGCAACTAGATTTCAAAATGAAGCCTGTGTATTAAAAAGTTTACCACTAATTCTAGCTAATTTGATTCACTCCCCATGACATTAAGAAATGGGTCAGTATGCTGGACATAGCAAAAGTTATGGGTTTGATGACATTCTGGTTGTAGTGCTGAAGACCTGAAGCCAGGTTTTTGTGGAGAAAGTGGTAATGGAAGATTAGGAAGCTTCCCAACTCAGCACATACCTTTAAATGAATCCCTGCCCACGATAATTTAGTTCTACAAAGATGGGTACAGTTGGAGTTGGGCCCATCATCTCCATGGAAATGGGCCAATGCAGAAGCTTGCTGGTTAGAAGGCCTCAGTCCTCTGGGACTTTGACCCATTATATTGTTAGGCCCTGTAGTCCTCACCTGGTCCACCATCTCACTTGCCCATTCCATGACCCATGCCCCTCATAGCGCTTTGCATCTTCCATGCTCATTCACCCAGTATATACTATGTACAAAACCAATAAGCCATTTAACACTGGCAAGTATTTGAAAATCACAGAATTGTTATTGTACTGAAGAAGCCAGTTAATCCATTTGTGTCAGCACTGGTCTCCAGATAAGCACTAGGCCATTCTTGTGTCAGCTGAGCTCCAAGACATGAATTGAGTTGGATTCTGAACAGCTAACTAGAACAGGCAAGATGATGGACAGGCTCAGAGAATCACATGGGAGCCTGCGCAACAGAACCCCAGTACTGGGAAAATCGGTTCTGATTGTGTCCATGGTGGAGGGTAAGCTTGTGAGAAAAGTTAATTATTGGCTGGACATTCGTGAACACTCATAATAAATCACTTGCATGTAATTTAACTGAAAATCTCCAGCATTTCATGCAGCTTCTCAGCACTTCCCCATCACTCAATTAAATGGAACATTCGCAAACTTCCCTTGCCTTCAACAACCTGGCTATTGAATGCTGCTGGTTTAAATATTGCTTACATGACTCACATGACTTACATGACTGACTTGTAGGAAAGGGACTCAGAGAGCTGCATCACCTTGGTTATTTTTACTCCATGTTCAAAGTTGATAATCTAACATTCTGAGCAGTGGAGTCAGAGGTAGGAAGTGAGCAAATCTAAAATTTTGTTTCCTAAAATTAAAGCAGAGCAGATAGCAGGGAGGGGGTGGGGAAGGTTTAATCTTTAAACTAGAATTACATACGAGTCCCTTAGATGACAACATTTCAAAGGGTGCCTTAAAAGGGAGAGGATGTTGCACAGTAAGAATCATTGACTCTATACTCCTCCATGCTCATGCACTAGAGGAATACCATGCCACGCAGGAACTAGTGCACACATCCCAGCTGTAATAACAGTTGGAAGCATAATGACAGGAGGCTAGATTAATCAGATGCAGGCTCAAAGTAATGTAAAACGAGTTGTGTTGTGAGATGTGTTTTGAAGTCTGCTTGAAAGTATACTTGGAAGGTTTGATTGATGGAGATCAAATGAAAACTTAGATTGTTTTACTGGGAAGAAGTTGCAAGGCATTTACAATTGGAGACAATGGCAACAGATTGCATTTTCCCATAGTGGAGACGCCCAAAGTTCCAGAAAGGTGTGGAAAGTAGTGGATTATAAACAATTCTGCTTTAAAGTGTCCATTTAGTTCCAACATTGAAGAGGGCTGGGCTCCCATTAGGAGCCCATCAGCATCATAGATTTAATCAATTCAATTCACTCCACATGATATTAACAAAATGGCTAAAGGCACATGATACTGCAAAAGCTATGGCCCTGATAATATTCTGGTAAAGGTACTGTAGAAACGCTTCAAAACTTGCTGCACCCCCCCACTCTAGCCAAGGTGTTCCAGTACAGCTACAACACTGGCATCTACCTGGCAATCAAAACTGCCCAAGTATGTCCCATACACAAAAAGAAAGACAAATCCAACTCAACAATTACTTCCCCATCAGTCTACTCCCAATCATCAGTAAAGTGATTCCTGAGCTCATTACAGCCTTTGTTAAAGCATGGACAAAACAAATGAACTCAAGAGGTGAGGGGAGAGTGACTGTTCCTGACATCAATTATTATTCTGACAGGGGAGGGTCAACAGCCAGAGGTCACAGCCCATATTGGTACGAATGACACAGGTAGAATGAGGGATGAGGTCCTGCAAAGGGCATTTAGAGAATTAGGCAGCAAGTTGAAAAGCAGGACCCTGGGGTTGTAATCTCAGGGTTAGTGCCTATGCCATATGCTAGTGAAGCCAGAAGTAGGAAGGTAATACAATCGAATGCGTGGCTAAACAGCTGGTGGAGAAGGGAGGGATTCAGATATCTGGATCATTGGGCTCTCTTGAATGAATGAATGATTTTTTTTCACTTGCATTTTACAGTGAATAATACAGTGAAAAGCTTCAACTGTTGCCACAATCTTATGCCATTTTGAATAGTTTAAGAATAAAGATCTATAACTGGAAGACAGTTTATCTTTGTTCCGCCACCTCCACCATGAGTCCTGAGCCTTCTCATCAAGAATATCAAACGAAGTAGCAGGCTATAAATCAGCTGGAAAATCAGGTGGAGAAATGGCAAATGGAGATCAATCCAAACATGTGTGAAATAATGAATTTTGGGAGGTCAAATGCAGGAAGAAAGTATACTGTAAATGGCTGGACTCTTAGGAGCATTGAAATAAAGCAGGATCTTGTGGTGCAAGTCCATAGCTCCCTGAAAGCGGCAACACAAGTGGATAAGGTGGTAAAGAAGGTATACTGCATGCTTACCTTCATCAGTCAGAGCACTGCATATGAAGGTTGGCAAGTTGTGTTGCTGCTGCGCTAAACTTTAGTTAGGCCACATATGGAGTATTGTGTGCAGTTCTTATCACTGCACCATTGGAAGGGTGTGGAGGCTTTGGAGAGGGTGCAAAAGACATTTACAGGATGTGGTCCGAATTGGATTGTATTAGTTATAAGGGAGGTTGTTGGACTTGGATTGTTTTCGACAGAGCATTGAGGGGCAACCTGATAGAAGTACATAAAAATTATGAGAGGTATGAATGGGGTGGATAGTTGGAGTCTTTTTCTCAGGGTGGAAATGTCGAATACCGCAGGCATAGATTTAAAGTGCAAAGGGAAAAGTTTAAAGGAGATAGGGTGGTAGGTGCCTGGAATGTACTGCCAGGGGAAGCGGCAGGAGCAGATATAACAGCAACAGTAAGATGCATTTAGACTGATGCATGAACAGGAAGGAATGCAGGGATATGGACCATGTGCAGGCAGATTTAGAATGGCAACATGGTTGACGGGCTTATGGGCCTACCCTGTGCTGCACTGTAATATGTACTAAGGGAGGTACTGACTGTGCCGAACCAGAATACATTTCCAAAACGTGCAAAGTGTTCAACATGAGATGTGATTACATAAAGGGATAACATTTGCTATGCACAAAGAATTACACTGGCAATCAATTTAGAATTGTCAGTCGGGCTCACAGCGTGACACACCTGAGCATACTAAGCTACATATATTAATATACAGGGTTACCATGAAGGCCCTACCTTCTCAACCTCACCCCTGACTGATACATGGTGACCCTTGGGTTAAACCACCACCAGTCATCTCATTCTACAATGAGAGAGCAGTTCTACGATCCTCTGGAATTTGGCAACTTTACTTATTGTGTTAATACGTAGGACCTGCTCTTTGAAGACAGAACACACACATGATGAAGAAAAGTTGAAAAGGTTAGGCCTATGTCCACTGAAGTTCAGAAGAATGAGAGGTGACCTTATTGAAACATATAATATATCAAGAGGACTGGACAGGATGGATAGCCAGAAGATGTTTTCACTTGTGGAAGAGGTTAAAAGCAGATGACAGAGTGTAACACTATGAGGTATCCCTTTAAAAGAGAGACAAAAATTTATTCGATCAAAGAGTTATTTAAGGGTTGAGTCCTCTTTCCCCAAAAGGTAGCAGAGGCTGGCTCTTTAAGTTTATTTAAGGCTGAATGGGATAAATTTTGAAGTCAAAGGTTACGTGATGCTAACAGGAAACTGGACATGGCACCACAACCACATCAGCCACAATATTAATGCACGGTACAGCAGGTTAGGAGGACCAAGTAGCTTATTCCTGCTCCTAACTTCTATGTTCTTATGCTCTTTTGAGTCTACATGGATCCTGCACAGAGGGAGTGGCAAGAGGGCAAATGAAGACTTTATAGTTTATTTGGCAAGAACTTGCATGAAAGTTCATCCTCGGATTGAAAAGACCAAACTTTTGGGAATTGAAAGCAAGGCTGGTAGAGTCACCCAAACTGGGCTACAATGAGTGTTTCCAGAAAAATAAAACCTCATCTGTGAAAGTCAATCCTAAGATAATATATTGCCAGGCTGGGAAAAGCAAACAACAGGATTAAACCCTTGAGATATAAGAAGCACTTTGGATTGATTCTGGGAATATTATATGCTTACATAAAGGACAGTCCTAAATTAACCTATGAAATATGTTTTCAGCTGGACTCAGAAAAAGAAGGTTGAGGGAGGGGGATTCCATGCTGTGCTTTAAATTACAAGTAGGCTACAAAGATTGTGTTTATTTAATAAAACAAAGAACACTGGATGCTGAAGATCTGAAAAAAAAAACAGAAATTGAGAAACTCAGCAGGTATAGCAGCAACTGAGGAAAGAAACCAGAGTTAACATTATGTGTCCAGAGACCCTATATTCAGTTATATATTAGATGGTCTCTCAGAAGATTTCATCAAACTTTGTCGCAAAGACATTGGATATACTTTTAACCTTTTGGAGATACCTCCAAATGTGTTATCTTTATTAGTGCGTACGATTGCTGGCTCAGAGAGGTTGTATGAAGCAAACCATCAAGACATAAATGAGGAGAATCTTCTCATAAAAATTTAACTCTCAGCCCCTCATTATGATTTGAGTACATCCAATTGGCACTTGT